GCAGTCAAACACAATTAGCGTGGGTGTATTTGAGATTTGAACGAAGCCGGGGGCCCGAATGATGCACCCTTGCTTTGACCAGTCGATAATAATGATGTACTTAATATCGATGGTTTAGAATAAGAATACCGAAATAAATATATAAGCTAATGATATTTATTTAGCAATCTGTTACTTTTTATTTTACGTTTCAATGATACGGGTTATGTGATTTTATATTAAATTGGCAAAAGCTTTTTTAATATAAACACACAATAAGCCTGAAATAGCTATCTATGGATTGTCTTTCAATTTGTGTCAGTTTGCAAATGAATAACGTGACAAACCGTGACTAATTGCGTACTATTTATTATACGAGAATTTAAAATACTTATTTTTTTTTGAAATAGGATTAAGGAACAAAGAGATGTGGGTTTAAGAACCGAGAATTGACTCCCACTTGGTGTATAAGCCTTCCCTTAGTTTACGTATTCCATGGTAAACGGCGCGTTGGTAGAAGGAAGAAATCATGGCTTCGCAGCGTTAGGCAGTGAACGGGTATTGCGACTGCGGAAGAGTTGCTGCATCTGGCACAGGACAAGACACGCTTTAAGAGACTGACAGCCAACCTCCAGTAATGGAGAGGCACTAAAGAAGAAGAAGAAGTTTACGTATTAGAATACCGAAGGTTAGCAATAGCTTACATACTAAGGATGTACTCGAAAAAAATGATTTCAAAATTATGTATTTCCACAACGAATGAAGACAGTAATTTAAAGCTATTCCTTTGGTTCAATATTAATGCACTACCAATTAAAAGAACATATCCTTAAGTTATCAATTTATATCGATAAAAGACCAGCTCATCTCTACCACCTGCCCCTGGTTACTGCGCCCTTGCACTTCGGAAGGGTGAAGTTGAATTATTGTTTAGAGGCGCTACAGGCGAGGGGGGCTTTTAAACCGGGAAACCCCAGCCATTGTGCATAGCCGATTTCCCGCATTCCGCCATTTTAATGTCCTAACATTCCGGTTATGGCGCCACTGTCTATGTGTGAGTGCGGTTTCCATGTAAATTAACAAAGCGATTTTCAAAGCTGAAGTCATTGAAGCAGATTTTATATGTTTCTTAGAATAATAATGGCTGATAATATTTAAAAGATTTCATCTGTCAGTTTCAGATCTTATCAGTTGCATAATGGCGCGTCTAAACGGGCCATGTTTTGCTGCAATTGATGGCTGCACTGTTGGCCACTAATTGCCCGGCCATTACAAAAATATTTTAATGCAGCTGATGGCCGGACAATCTATGGCTGGGCAATGTGTTGCAATAGTATGGCCCATGATGCAGACTCCTAAACGGGCTACACAAACCGGCAACAATGGCTGACGAAATCACACTTGTCGCAGCAGCTTATATTGTTTTAAAAAAGAAACAGAAAAAGAAGAGATTGTGGATTCGACCTTACTTAAATAGGCGTGAAGCTGTAGACAATTTGAGTTTAGAAATAAGTCTTGATAATAAATTATTCAAGAACTAGAATGTCAAAGTAGTCATTTTTACGTAGTAATCTAACGTCAAATACAGCTGATCGCAAAACACAGAATAAAGCAACAGGCACACTTCACTCAAAGCAAACGTCATGTCGCGTAGAAAAGGATACACTATGCCATAACAAAGAGGGTGACTGAAACCACAAGAGAACTGGCTGTGCAATATTGCAGTTGAATTCGATAGCCTAGCGATCGTCCGGCCACCCATCGGGGCAACATCGGCCATATGTGGCTATACAAAACATGTTTGGCTATATGGCCGGGACATTACTGCAATATTGCATAGTGTGGCTGCTATTGTTTGCAATGTTGCCGGCCACAGTGTTGCAGCCATCAATTGCAGCAAAACATGGCCCGTTTAGACGCGCCATAAGATATTTCTAGAAAAATTGTTTCGATATATTCATACGTTCCCTGGGACACCCCCAGAGCTGGGGCAAAAGCAATGTAGGAAGAATACCTAAGCCGGCCTAGTGGTCGGTTAGTAGTACTAGTAATCAGCCCAGGTACCACTGGATCATTGACACCACCACTATCGACAAAGTGGAGTAGGATCTGCTGCATTCAGCTGCCAGCGATTGGTGGGAAGTGGCACAGGATTAGGGGACGCTGGAAGTTTCTCGTTTTGGAGGCTAAGACACATTTTGGGTGGCAGAGCGTAGTGAGTTCTTCTCACTGGGCCTTTCCAAGTAAGGGTGTTTTTGACTCATCACAAACGCGGAATATTTCCTATTTCCACTTTAACGTTTAAGAGTGTTTCGTACTACACTGTTTTTTTTACTTTGACTACAATTTTTAATCGAAAAATATACTATTAAGTTATAAATAGCATGGTTTATGACATAGACTTGACCTACATTTGCTAATAACAATGAGACCCACAAAAATAAGTGTTTCATTCGTTTTCAATTTTTGTTTTTGAATAATATTTGCGTAAATTAATAAGATTCGTACTAAAACACTTTTTAATAAAACCGTAGATAGCCATTGAGTAAAATCAAACAAGAAGCGACGTAATAAGGAAAAATGTTCACGAAATTTTTCATTTTAACGGTACTTGAAAATAAACTCGTGAAAATTTCAATTTTTTTTAGAATTCGAAATATTAACTCGCAAATTGTTCTGAAAACATTCTTTAATCAAAATTTACTGAAGATTTTACAACTCGTCACCACTATAACATGGTCCTTGGTTTTGTTACCTGCTGTTTGTGTGTCCCGCGTTCGAGGGCTCATGTAAATTTGGCTTTACAGGGATCGAGAAAGTATATTCGTGTACAAATATCCGAAATATTTCATTAAACTGGACTGTTTTGTCTGCTCCCCTTCAATATGCATGTTTGAATACGTTATTTGAAAACTTTGTATGCTGACTGCGTTTGCCTTTTGATGCGAGGGTCTTTAATGATGTCCAGAGAACAATATATCTCAATTACAATTGTACATTAATTATATTTAACTTTTTGATCTCAGTTTAGAGACACAGATAAAGGAACTTTGCGGTTCCTAGTAAGAATTAATTAATTAAAAACTAGCTACTTTTATTATACAGTTTTAGAATTAATCGATTTTGAAAGATATATTTTTAGTTTGTCAGATACAAAATGAAAACTAGTTGACGTGTACAGTTTTTAGATTGTTAGTATCAAAATTACTGGTATGTTATACAAAACATATTGAACATATTAGAATAGAATAGAACAGAATAGCAGTAAACACAATATACACTAAAAGAAATTAGTTTATTTAATATCTAAATATTAGTACGCCATTGGATTTCCATAGTTGCTCCTTTTACTTAATTTTGCTCCCGTTGCTTAATTTTTATAATTTAAGAATCCATGTATTTTTTCTCATCATGTTTGTTATCTTATATTTTCTACTTTATGTAGCAATTTTGTAAATAAATAAAATTCGTACCATATTTTAGATGATACTATCAAACACAGGAAGACGTTTTTATATATTTCGTATTATAAAACAATTTTTTTACTGACTTTCTGAGTGTTATATAAGAAACGATAGACAATAATAGCATCTAGTTCTGTGTCTATCGTTATCTGTCCACTGTTCCATCACTCCTGTCAGTCTTATCAGTGTGATTTTTCCGTTTCCCCACCTGTCAGTCTGCGCCATTGTGTCCCTCCTTTAATATCCTAAACATTTTCGTCCCCAAATTCCTTTGAAAACGATATGAATATTGAAACTTGATTTAATAATGCTTTTCTTGAAAGATATCTCTGTGCGCAGGCATCGTCTTTGACAAAAGATGTTTGCTATGAATTTTTATATTACTTTAAATATAAAATTGTTTTTCTTTGGGACTATATTGCCAATGTCTGATTTGTATTAGCATTACGTAAAAATGCGTTCGTACTGACTCTATTATCGGCCTTCCGAAAAAAGCTTTCGCTATTTAAGGAATTTTAAAGCATAAATTACAGAGCTCTATCTATTACGACAGTATAGAGCAGAAAATATAGGTTATAAATCGCACGCACTTCGTTAATAAGCAAACAAAGTTGGCGTTATTTGAACATTAGCCATAAAACAGCTTGGAGACATCAAAAGAACAGGAAATCCGGTATTATGTGCACATTCAATCAGCTTTGTCACAAACCACTAAGAAAACCTTCGCCACTAATTACGCAAAAACATCTCATCCCCTCAAATGCGTTCTATTAATAATCCCTCAAAGAACGTCCAGTTATCGTTAACAAAACTACCTTGAGCTCCCCACCCCTTCTAATCTCCTACTATATCGGAACGTAATGGGGAGGGTGGTCTAGTTTTCAGAGGTCAATTTATAGTGGTAAGCTGGTACTTTTGCAAATTAATTCCTATCTGCAGGGGCAGATATAATCCAAAAATGATCGCCTGTCCCCTCCTAGTGCGATAAATGCTCTTTAATGTCGCTAAATGACTGGCCAAATTGGTCTTCCTTATATGATTTTAGGTTTAATGCAATTTTTTTTACGAAAACAAATATTATTATTTTATGTATATTATATACAATATTCTATTTGTATATAATATACTAACCAAAATATATTATTAAAAGGAGTCCCTTTAGGCAAGGTTCCGAAGATACTGGCGTTCCTCCTGTTCCCCCTTTGAATAGCTAGACTAATTCATTGTCGGAGGTAGCTGCCAGCTCTTCGGTCTCCTGTGATGTCGACTAACCTTTATGCTATTTCCTTTTTTAGTCTATATGATCATGGTTTAGGTGTTGGCCCGGATTTATGTAAGAGGTGTAATGATAAATATTCTGGTATATCTGGACGAAATTCAGGCGTCGAATTTGAAGTTATATTCCACAATTTAAAAAAACCCTGACTTATTAAACTGTGAAACTGAACAGTTTCCAAAGAACTGGTTCTAAAATAATTAAAGTGTTTTGGATAGTCCATTAATCAACATAACCCATTTATCGCCATCACGGGACAGCTGGTAGTAGAATAAACTCACCTCCAGCGCAGAGGACAATGAAGCCTTCTCTTGCTTCAGAGTTTCCACTCGGCTTTTGTATTGCAGCAGCGAGCGCACCGTCTCCTCCATCCTGAAACAAAAAAATATTTAATTAGGAAAATACGAATCAGCAAAGGCTATATAAGTATCTACAAATTAATCATTGCCACATCCCCCTTCGTTTATATTACAAAAACGCTACAATAGAACACGATACTCCAGGCTTCGCGATCCTTTGCCGCAACCTCTTAGCCACGAACCTCCAAGCTGTGTTTGCCCATTAAAGATTGTATTAAAAATTAAATCAGTGGCGCTACAACCTTTTCAGGTCTTAGATTTCTGTTTCATGATCATTTGTCAATCTAATAAGAAAGTAGGTGATCAACCTCCTATGCCTGACACACGCCGTCGACTTTTTGGGTTTAAAAGCCGGTTTCCTCATGATGTTTTCCTTCACCGTTCGAGCGAACGTTAAATGCGCATAGACAGAAAGTCCATTGGTGTACGATGATCGAACCTACGACCTCAGTGATGAGAGTATTAAGCGAGGCCATTGCTCAAATATTGTGTTACGTTTTATTAATCCAAAATACTTTATCAATATGAGACATTTACTAATTAAACATTTAATTTAAACACCGTAACAAAGAGAGTCGAAGCAAGTTAAGAAAGTCACTGAAACATTTTCCTTATAATAACTTCGTAATCCAGACTGATAGCTGTAATAAGCTACTTGGGAACAAAATGAAAGCGAGCAATCTTTTAAATCGTACTTCATTAGGCGTGGATCAAGTGATGTCATTTGCGTACTATGTTTTTGTCCGTAGATTTATGGTTGTGTCAAATAATAATAATCCAGAGGTATTACAACCCTGTATGGTAACTAGGTATTAGAGATTCATTCACGACTTAGTATGAATAAAGATATTGTTACGAGCTAGTGGATCGGATAGAAAACGCCGAAGAAATCTTCAAGGGTTTATTTCTAAATATTTCCAGGGCTTGCAAACGCCTGAAAGCGAGTTTCCTGAAAAGTGTACCACTCGACTACACTTGTTCTAAAACTGTCTGAAAAATGTTTCAGCCTCATGAAAACTAGGGTAACATTCTGTAAATTACGATTTTCTAATATGTGATTGAAACGGTCAGAAATCACATTTCAGCCCGCTGAAAAGTTCTCTAACTAGTGGAAAAATCTAGAAACATTGCAGTCAACCCGTTTTCGTAACAATATGTTGCAATTTAATACAATTTTGACAGCAATGGTTTTAGACTGAGAATCACATTCCGTTAGGCTAAGCTGCTGGGAAATATATTTAATGATATACTCGTAAATTGTTAAAAATCTAAATCTCCGGAAGTACTACACTACTACTAAAGTATTTCATTCTTTATTTTTTTTATATCACAGGCGCCTCGCAAGTGCGTTGCCGGCCTTATAAGAATTGGTACGCTCTTCTTGAAGGAACCGAAGTCGAATTGATACGGAAATACTTCAGTGGGCAGTAGGTTCCACATAGTGGATGTGCGCGGCAAAAACTGCCTTAAGAAACGCTCAGTTGTGGGAAATTATTTTTACATATATCTATAATATTTTCTGGGATCGAATATATTTTGAATATCACAATATAAAACATCTTGTCAATGTAATAAAAAAATACAAGTTATATATGTAAAAGTAAGTAAATACTAAGACAAAAAAAATACCAGCATTGAAATATAAAACCTTTTTTCGTTAAACATAAAACGTGATACGTCAAAAATCAATCGAAATCACTGGATCAAATTTCTTTTCACAGATGCAAAATAATAATTCAACGGTCTTCGAGAATGGAATGAATTAACTTTTCCAATAACCCCGAATGGAATTCTTCAGCTGTAACATTCTGACGTCGTTTCGTTTTCTATAACTCGCTACGATCCTCATTGTTGAAAACCTTTTTCGAATTCCGTTTTTTTTTATATTTGACAGATTATTTAGCGCGATTCTTTTTAAACCGATTTCATCGATGATATGCGATTCGAAATTTAAAATAATCCACAGATACGAAAATAGTTTTAATAACGTTGCTGTTAAATTAAAAAAAAAACATATCACAATTTAAAGAAGAATGTCTTTAATTAGATCCACTTTAGTCCTATCTCAAATTTAAGTAATGTATAAAGGCTTCATTTGGTCGATTACGAAATTTTTAAAAGTTTTTGTTTATTCTTTTACAAACCACGTTAAATTTCTATAACCTAGGTGTATTTGAGTGATGTTCTTTTTTACATACAGATTTGGTAACCGGGAGCGATGCTCACCTGATGTTAAGTGATACCGCCGCATGGACATGGATATTGCCAAAAGGTTCGCCAGTGCGTTGCCGGCCTTTTAAGAATTGTTATGCTCTTTTCTTAAAGTCAAAATGACGGGCAGCTGGTTCCACATAGTGGTGGTGCTCGAAAAATTATTATTATTAATCCGAACAACTCCTCTAAACACTCTCCATGGTAAATAAGTAGCATCACTTATAAAAATCTGAATTAAGTACATTATTTATAAAGTCGGTTAGAATGAAATTCCATACGTTGTTTAATAAATTTTTAATCCAAACGCAAAGCGTACACATAACTCATTTGTGTTGTGTATTTCCCTGGTGTCGAATCTAAAAAAATGTTACGCGCTCGATCACCGAAGTTTCGCGTCCGTGGGCTTATTATGAATAATTTAATTTTTTTTGTAAACACTTTTCGTACGTTGTTTTATTGCCGCCACTCACGATAGTTTATCGACCAATGGAGCGAGGGTTGCAATATTTGCTGCGTTGGTAAGTCAGTATTATCAAAGACAAGCTATTCATTTGATATATTCAGCTGATTTAAAAAAAGCGTTGTTAAGCGCTTATCGGGTACCTAATTCGCGTTGTTAAGGGTATTTTTAATTAGGTAACTACTAGTAAAAACTAAAATTTGTAGTTGTAAGTATAATATTTTTTGTCAAATTCACCGTAATTGTCATGTATTTTAGCATAGATAGCTTGTAACATATGCTGTATTGACGACTATTTGTGTGTTTCCTATTTAATACAATATATATTATTTGTATTTTAACAAAAAATATGTATTTTTTTTTGTTTTTATCTACATTTCTGTCCTCTCATAAAACAGAATTCGCAACCCCATACTAATGCTAGGCTAAACATTCGTCGTCCCTCTGTCACAAATTACCATGTGGACCCCTGGCCAGATGAGCTTCCTCATAAATCTTGCCTATTAAAACCTGCGAGCCTCGAATTAATTATTATGGTCTCCACGCATGCCCAGGAATTCATTTCAAATATTAGAAATAGCTTTGTTTAAAACAAGCCTGTCCCAGGTTCTCATTCCTAAATAGTTATTTTTTAAAGATATTTTAGAAATACGGTCTATTTCAGAGACAGAAAATCTGGTATTCAGGGATAATGTTCAAAGACTTTTATTTTTGGTCCCTATCTAATTTGTACCGTAAATATCGATCTAAGCGTTTGAGTAATGAAAAAACCAGTGGCGCTACAACCTGGGTCTCAGACGGGCAAGTGGGTGTGCCTTGTGTGCCTGACACATGCTGTCGATTTTTAGTAAGCTCGATTGCCGGTTTACATATCTTTATGTCGAAGAATGGTGCTGGTATCAGTCGCCATTGTGATTACAATTTAATATTTGCCAATATAAATAGATCTACAAATTAACGACTATTTGATAGTCTGTAGTAATTAAATACTCTTTATTATTAATGTTGAAGCAATGGTGTTAGTGTCAGCTGCCATTGTCATTATAATTTAATAACATCAAAGTCAAATTAATTTTAAAACGTAAATACGAATGGTTTATTTAATTTGTCTATGTTGCTAGATTAAAGATTATTTAATGGTCGATAATAATGACTTTAAGTTTCAAATGTTTAAAGTTATGATAAATGACTTTTTATAATAATAATGATAATGACTATGGAGTCTTTATTATCGACCATTGAATAGTCCTTAATTTATAGATCTAGCAACATTGACAAATTAAATAAACCTCGTATTAACGGTTTTGAATTAATTTTACTTTGATGTTATTAAATTATAATGATTATCTGACACATATATCACATAGATAGAAAAGTCGATTGTGTACTTTTCCATGAGATGCGTACCACTTGGTCGACAATGCTATGTAAACCACGAATCTAAAATATTCTTAACTGGAGTGCCTCCATTTTAAGTATGAAACTTCAAAAGCGTCAAAACTACTTTTGAAGATGTCCCAGTGTTGTCAGCTGATACTACTGATTATATAATATACCCTATAGATGTAATAATAATACTTTCTTACTCACAACGCATTGCGTGCACAGTATTGGCGATGCACGCAAATTTAACCCTCAGTGACTAATGATTTAGTAATGACTGCCCTTTGACAGGAGAAAAATGTACCGAACACCCCAACTTTTAGCAGTGAGTCATGAATGATTTCTGATATCTTTGAATCACCGATCTTTTAGAATCGTACTATTTCTTCAGTAGTAATAATTACATATTATTCAGTAGTAGTATTTTTAGTAAGTAGTAATTTTAATTATTACTCAATAAAGAGCACTCGCTTAGTAATGTCTTTTTCATAAATTCTTTTGTCTTTTTCCATTACAAAGCAAACATAATTTGACAGAAAGAGACGGTTGACTAAAGTAGATAAAATAATGAAACTAATTCTGTTTTTAATGTAATATTATTATTGTCTATGCATTATTAAATATGTGTGGGCAAATATTAAAATAAGTTAATCTTAAACAAAACGAAATAGGGAAATCAAGTTAACTAAATAGGTTAGTGAAATGCGTGTCAAAGTTTCGCTCCGTGACCTCTCGTTATCGTTCTTCTTTCAAGTATAATTGTGTGGCCAGCCTTAAATAAAACCTTCATAGTTGTACAAAATGCCCCAATAACAATATAATTAATTTTACTCAAAATGATATAAGTATTTATCTATTTATTTATTTACACTTCGTTACATACGTTACACTTTCAGAAAACAAACAAGCGATCTCTTCCAGTAACCCTACTAAGGAAAATAACAAAAAAAATATA